GGTACAGGATGGGAGGACAGATTCTGGCTTGAATAGTATGAATTTGAGGTGGTTCTATAAAAAATAGCTGGAGAGGATGAGTAGGGTGGACAACCTACAAAGGAAGCTTGTTTATGTGAGTCTTTGAGAGTCAATAAAGAGCTCTGTTTTTGTGCCAGAAACACCGGAAGGTGCTGAGCTGGGAGCGCTGGAGTGGTGCTCACAGGAGTGACTTCATGCTTTTGTCCTTACTTGATGTGTCCAGCCCAGCTCCATACTCCACATGGCATATGCAAGGCCTTGTGCTTTGATGTTCTAGAGCGGTGGTTTTCTTAACCTTTTTGGGGAGTTTCATATTCCTTTGAAATCAGATGAAACCTGTGTACAGAAAAATACTGCAAAAAAAAATGCGCCCTGCAAACATAGTAATTTTTACAAAGTTATTTAACCTGGCAACCACTGACCTGTTCTCCATCACTATAGTTCCGCTTCTAAGAAGGTCATAAATGGAATCATGAAGTATGGAACTTCAGGAGACTGTCTTGGGGTGTGTGTTTTCCCATGTTGGATTCCGCAAACCTGGTTCAGAGCTCACAGGTTAGGGAAGCATTGCTTCATAGCTACACTGTTTTGTTTGGTAGAAAGTTAATTGTTGAAGACTCCAGATGGTAACAATATCCTGGCTTTCACATCCCTCTGAACAACATAAAGGGGAGCCCCTCTCTATCCTATCATCCTGCCTGCCCACCCAGCTTCAGTACTGGCATCAGCAGCTTTTTTTTTTTTTTTTTGGTAAATTGTGCCTTGACCTCTTGTTTACACCCTGACTGCTAGTGACTGGTCCCAGTCTTTTTTCTTCTTCCAGCCTCATCTTGGGCTGATTCCTACCTTGGTTTCCCTTGTAAGTATCCCAGTCGACAGGGAAACCATTCTCCTAAACCCCAGAAGCCAAGCTTTACTTCCTGCTCCTAGATGTCCCCGTGTACCCGCTCTTGAGTCCTCCGGGTGGTTGAGTCCTGGTGGTCTCCAGAGTGCTCCATTCCAATTCTTCCGTCTGAGCACCAGCCAGCCCACAGGTGTAGCTGTTCAGGCCTTTTGCAGTTCTGTGATTGCTGGTGTTTATGCATTTTGGCAGGGCTGGGATGTCTCTTGTTCACCTACTTCCAGTTTGAAGGTTAATAAGGGGGAGATGCTACCTGTGCGGTCCACATCTATGTATTCTCTGGATAAAAGAATTTTCCCCTAGGACCCAGCAATTTCAAACTTAGAGAAAAGGCTATGAAATATTATCATCAACTTAGCTGTAATGTAAGAGCACATGGTGTGAAACTTGTCATTACTATGAAGTAACTTAGTCATTATTAGTGAGAAACTGGTTACATAGTTGTGGGAAACCTAAGAAGGTCTTTCCTGATGCCCATGCTTATAAGCATTACTTTTCTTCCCCAAATAAAGACAAGAACCATCATGAAGATGAACAATTTAATTGTATAATCTTTGTAGATTGTTTCTTCTAAAATAAAATACTAGTCATTTAAAGTAAATTTTTCCTCATTGAATAAACTAATGACCACAAATAGATGATCAGATATTTCACAGTACAGACATAAACTAAGTAAAAACATTTTTTAAAAAAATTGGTAAATTTTTTTTGAATTTTTATTCAAATACTATGAAGATGTTCATTTTTTAAATTTTTTGAGATTTATGAGATGTATATATTGTGCATATGGCCAAAGACACCTTAAAGTTCTTAGCATCCTCCCCACTAGGTATAATTTTCTTTCTTTTTTTTTTTTTTTTTAACAGACAAGGTCTCATCTATTGCCCAGGCTGGAGTGCAGTGGCATGATCATAGCTCACCACTGTAAACTCAAACTCTTGGGCTCAAGCGGTCCACCTGCCTCAGCCTTCCAAGTAGCTAGGACTACAGGTGCACCCTACTACACTGGGCTAATTTTTTTTTTTTTTTAATGGAGATGGGATCTCACTATGTTGCCTCAAAACTGATACTTTTAACTAAGAAGGTGATCCTTATGTTACATTTAACTTAATTTGCAAACTGTGTTCCCGGATGATGATGCCTTGTTGCCCTACCCATTTGGAACTCCATGTGCTTGATGGCAAATTAGTATTTAGAGTCCATCAGGTTTCAAAGAGTGATTGGTGGTATGATGTTAGAGTTGCTAGGTGTTTGGAATCTGTTTTTTGTTTTGGTAGGGGCAGATGAGGAGACAAGGTCTTGCTCTGTTGCATGGGCTGGAGTGCAGTGGTATAATCATAGCTCACTGCAGCCCCAAATTCCTGGGCTCAAGCCATCCTCTCAGCCTTCCCAGAAGCTGCCACAGGTACACATCACCGTGTCTGGCTGATTTTTAAATTTATTTTAGATATAGGGTCTCACTTTGTTGCCTAGCCACTCTTGAACTCCTGGCCTCGAGCGATCCTTCCATCTTGGCCTCCCAAAGTGCTGGGATTACAGGCATGAGCCCCCATACCCAGCCTTGACCAGAATCTTTATAAAGAGAAAAAAAAATGGATTGAGACTTAACGAACTCACACTAGGTAGGGATTTTGAACCAGCACAATATTGTAAGATACTGATACTAACTTCCAGGGAGGGTCAGGATACAGTGTCTTTTACCCTTCCCAGCCTCCATAGTTTGAGTTGGTAGAATCCACACAAAACTGGTTGGAAATGGAAACTAAGATAATGGCTTAATGAATGGTTAGGTAGCACCTAGTTACCCTCAAATTTAGGAACTTTGGTCCACTGTTGAGGTCATGGCTTTGCCAAAATGCCCAGAGAGCTTTGCCCACAAAGCGGGCCTCCTGGCTTGTTAACCACAGGAATTGGAAGCCCAAGGTGAGCCTGTAGCCCTGAGCACAGGCAGGGCAGGGGAGAAGTGGGAAGGAGAGGGCAGAGACTGTTTTGAGAGCATTGCATTTCCACTCACTGATCACATACAATCTGTTGGATTCACTACTCTTCTCCTTTGGGGGAAGGACTGAGTTCCTGGGGAAGAAAGAAAAAGGACTTCCTCTTCATTGCTCCTGGGAAAGGGCAGAAAAGTCTCTTATGGGCTGAGGCTGGGGAGGGGAAGGAAGAGACTTTGAGAAACTTTGGGCTGGTACAGGATTATCTAATTCTTTGGCCTGAGGGATTTTGGGACAGGCTCATATTTTAATGTACATGTAGAACACTGGGGATTTTTTTTTTTTAATTCATTGATTGTGAGGTTGGAGATTCTGCATTTCTAACAAGCTTGCAGGTGCTGCTGCTCCTGATCTAGGGACTACACTCGAGAGCCAGGTTCTGATTCTCTCTTCTGGGCTGTGCAGGGCTGGGTTAGAGCAGCCTTCACCCTGCATTAGAGGCATTTTGCTAATTGCGGAAACTCTTTGTCTGGCATTAGTATTCCTAATCTGTAGCCACTCTTGCATTTCTAGCTTTTCACTGGATTTGTGTGTTGCTGGACCATTGAGGAGGTTGCTTACCTGGCTTTTCTCCACCTGGGTTGTAGTCCTGCTGTGAGTTTCATCCCAGCAATCTGTCTTCCTTTTCCAAGAGTTAAGACTTGGAGGCTTTTTTTTTTTTTTTTTTTTTTTTTTAAAGTTCTGGGATACATGTGCAGAGCATGCAGGTTTTTTACATAGGTATGCGTGTGCCATGGTGGTTCAGTGCACCTATTAACCCGTTATCTAGGTTCCCCCGACTCGCCCTGCAACAGTTCTCAGTGTGTGTTGTTCCCCTTCTTGTGTCCATGTGTTCTCATTGTTCAACCCCAACTTATGAATGAGAATAAGTGGTGTTTGGTTTTGTCTTCCCGTGTTAGTGTGCTGAGAATGATGGCTTCCAGCTTCATCCATCCAAGGACACAATCCTTCCTTCACCCAAGGACATGATCTCATTGCTTTTTATGGCCGCATAGTATTCCGTGGTGTATATGTACCACATTTTTTTAATCCAGTCTATCATCAATGGGCATTTGAGTTGGTTCCATGTCTGCTGTTGTAAATAGTGCTGCAATAAACACACATGTGTGTGTGTCTTTAGAGTAAAATGATTTATATTCCTTTGAGTCTATACCCAGTAATGGGATTGTGGGTGAAATGGTATTTCTGGTTGTAGATCCTTGAGGAATTGCCACTGTTTTCCACAATGAACTAATTTACATTCCCATCAACAGTGTAAAAGCGTTCCTATTTCTCCACAGCCTCACCAACATCTATTGTTTCTTCACTTTTTAGTAATCACCATTCTGACCTGCATGAGATGGTATCTCATTGTGGTTTTGATTTGCATTTCGCTAATCAGTGATGTTGAGCTTTTTTTATATGTTCGTTGGCTGCATAAATATGTCTTCTTTTGAGAAGTGCCATATCCTTTTCCCAGTTTGCAATGGAGTTGTCTGTTTTTTTCTTGTAAATTTAAGTTTCTTGTAGATTCTGGATATTAGACCTTTATCAGATGGGTAGATTCCAAAAATTTTCTCCCATTCTGTAGGTGAGACATTTTTTATAGTTATTTTTCTTTTTAATGGGTGTCAATCAATATGCCTCAGACTTACAGAGAAGATGGCCCTGTACAGGAATTTGATGGTCCAGGACTCAGGGATGCCTGGCTGGTGCCTCACTAAGTACCCTTCTTCCCTGTGACCTTCTTGTCCCCCTCCATGTAGCTTTATCTAGGTACAATTGACAAAAATGGCATTTAAGGTGTACAACTCGATGCTTTGATGTACGTATACATTGTGGAATGATTATCATTGTTAAGCTAATTCACATTTTCATCATCTATTACCTCACATAGTTACCATTTTTGGGGATTTGTTTTGTGGTAAGAACACTTAAGATCTACTTTCTTAGCAAACTTCAAGTATACAGTATGCTATTGTTAACTATTGTCCCCATGTGTGGGTTAGATCCACGGAGCTTATTCATCTTGTAAATGATTGTTCAATACCTCCCCATTTCCCTTCCCCCCACCTGTGATCTTCTTAAGGAACAATTGCCAAATAGTAATTGAAGTTCTAGATTTTTATTGACCCAAGCGCTGTCACTCCCAAAGCAGAGTTCTGGGTTGGAGCACTGCAGTTTCGAGTGGTGGTGTTGGCTCCAGCTCTCCCTGAGCCACTTCCATATCTAGGGGTCTTGCCATGCTCTGATTGGTTGTTCCTTACAAAGCAAAGACAGGAAGAAGAGAGCAGAGAAAGGGCCCAATGCTTTAAGAGGAATCTTCAGCTCTGGTTTGGTTTGCTGATCCCTAGACCCGGAAAAGAGAAAGTGAAGAGAGGGGAGATGCATGCACGGTATGTGGCTTTTGGCCCCCAGTGACTGTGCCTAAGCAACACCTAGTACCAGGTAATGTCTTGGACCCCAACGAGTCAGTATGATGTGCTTTGGGGAAAGAGGAGAGAAGTAGAAAGTGGGGAAGGTGGTAGGCAGAGGGGTAAAACTTCCCTTCCCTCCATACCATGCAGGCCGTTTCTCACTTGAATATAATTGAAGCATAATTCTGTGCACTAGTTGAGGTCTTCCTGTGGTCAGTGGGTCTGTTGACTTGCAGTAATAGATGCTTCACAGATACTAAAGGAAGCTGGGAGTCTTGTGTCTGAAAAGGTTATTCTCTCAAGCTTTTGCTGGTGCAACACAACCAGCATCATATGTTCCTGCCTTCAGTGTGACAGCTCAGGAGGAAACAAGATCCTGATTTAGCAGAAGCAGATGTCACATAAAATACTTTAACCATGACAAAGTGAAACTGTGAATTAGTCATTTAAGTATTTACTCTAGTGAATATCCAAACAGATGTGCTCATGTAGAAAAGAAAATAAGCTCCTTCCTTCTGTCATTGGATCACACGTGCATGTGGCTTTATAGTGTTCTTCCAGTTTCTAGACAGGTTGTTACTAAAATATCTTGGTTGTGTATCTTGGATCTGAGCTTGGAAGATAGCTACTGTGATGTGGGAAGTAAATGCATGAAGGTTGCTTTAGGACACTGAGAATCTGTGTGTAGACTGTGGAGCCCTGGTCGTATGTCCAGTGTCCTGAACTGGCCCAGTGAACCCATGGCAGGCACACAGGGGCCCTAGTAAATAGTTGTCTATATTTAGTTAGCCCTTTTTGTGGAGGATAAAGTTTATATGTCTAATGTCAGGTGCCCGTTGGCATCCGTGAAGCCAGTTGGCTTTATACAGGGAACATAACTACAATATATCTTGTATTTCTCAGCTAACTGTTGTGCAAATTCATGTAAAGATGGTTGCTGAAATTATGTGGAACTTCATCCGTACCACTTAAAAGCAGCTCAAAGCTCCAGTCCTTGCCATATGTTTCCTGGGGGCCCAAATCACCCCTAGTTGAGATAAGGTCCTTGTGTTCTGCGGTGGCCTGTTGGTAGTAGAACCCCAAGAATCAACTACACTTTACTTACAACATTGGCTGGCTTTGCATCTGAGCCAGGCTTTTGTGAGTGGAAGGAACCATGGCATCTTGTCAGACTTCTGTTCTTCCTGTCCCCTAGGTCTCTACTGTGTGTCCCACTGTTGCTAAGTATCCTTGAAACACAGTCTTCCTGTGTCACTTATCCACTCTGGAACATCAAATAGCTGCCTGTGCTGAGAAGCCTCCATGATCTGTCTCACTCTACCTGTCCAAACCTACTTCGCATTATTGCTTGACATGCCTTTTTTGTTTCAAGTGCTTTGGGTTTTACTGTATCAATTGTTCTTATTCTGAACAGTAGGTACAAAAGACACAAACACTGTTGTGTCTTAGGTTGGAAATGTGCATCCTCAGACTTTAAGAAACTCCAGATTGAGACGTGCTGGGATGTGGATTGAATTCATGGTCAGAAGATGAATTAAATGGAAAGAAAAAAGGCAACTTGTGCTTGAAGCCTCTAAGCAGTTGCTGAAACTCATTCAGCTCTTGTAGTTGTGCTTGGATTGTTCATATAAAGGCCATTTTTATCTGTTCTTCAGATTCATTCAGGGGAGTATAAAGGTTTACAACTTTGACATTGGGGCTGGGTGTTGAGGGAGGTGACTAGTGAGCTGATAGCCTTGGCATCCATAGGGTTTTCTTCTGGGATTATGGGAGCTGGACTTGCATGGATCAGAGCTTCCATCATCTGAACTGCTGTCCTCTGGTGAGGGTTTATTTCCCAGCTGCTCAGTTGATCTCTGTTGGCACCTGGATTGCTTATGCTCCAAGAGCATGTATTGGAGTCATCACATTGATGATACAGAAGAGCTTACTACATTGTCCATGTTATCTATGTTATTTCATTTATTTCTAAGACTTTCTTTTCCTTCTGCGTAAGTCCTACCATCTCTGGAAGCCTTTCCCAGTTAATCCAGTCCCCATGCCACTGTGCTTCCAATCTGTACCACACAGTTGGACCTTTAACTTTTCAAAGCTAAGTTGTAGCCTGTAAGCTACTTGAAGTAAAGGCAGTCTGTTTCCTTGCTATGTATTTGCTTCCTCACAGCCAGCCTAGTACCTGGTAGATATTTTGGTATTGATTTTGTTGGGACTCCTTAGGATGTATAATATGAATGTTATAACTTCACTGGAATCCATAGAACATGGCAACTAAGTTTAGAACCTGTAGCTCCAAAGCAACAATTGCCAGTTTATACCTTGTCCCTTAAATAATTGGAACAATACACCTATAAGATAAAAAAACTGATTTTAAGTAACATGGTGTTTCCATGAATCTGTTGGTATTGACTGTTGTTGAAGTATACCTCCCTAAGTAAATAGACAAACTGACCTGCTTGATGGAGGATGTTGGTCTCTTGGCTTAGACCTTGCTGTGGTTCAGGCTGTGAGAAGTTGGTCATTCTTGTCCTTTCCTGACTCATACCACTAGCATCTTTGGCAAAAAGCAGTGTGTAGTTTCTTTGTTTAGGGTAGAGCATTAGTTTCCAGGGTGGTGACTTTTCTTTGCTGGTCTGAAGTCATACTGTCTCCAGTTTCCTCTGTTTCATTCTCTGCTCCTCCTCAGTTTCACTGGGGTGTGTGATCCACTGCCCTCATTTCCTTGTTGGCAGTGGGTCCTTTGGCACCTGTGGCTGCTTCACGGGCAAACCATGGGCAATCAGGGTTTGCCTGTAGGCCCCGAGAGGCTTGGGACTTGCAAGGAGTTTTACCCTCCTTCCCTGAGCACTGGCTTGTGTCATTTGATGACTACTTATTCAGAACCTAGAACTTTCTGCCTGTGAGGTCGACATACCCATTATGCTTATTGCCTGGAGAGGAAGCCCTACATTCTGCTGCTGCTGCAGAGTGATTTTTAATGGACCAGAACTTACATGTCTAAATGAATGTTATTGTTGAGTGAAGTCACCTTAGGACGATGATTTAAATAACACCGCGATTTCTCAAGAAGTTTGGAACTTCTCTTATGGTTGAGTTCAAAGCCATTTTATGTTATACGTGGCCCAAACAAGTTTTATTGGTACAATTAAATCTTTATGGAGGACTTTTGATGGACCACGTAGTGAACTTGGACTGGGAATCAAAAGAACAGTAAGGCAGGGTGTCTGCCTTCATTGAGCCTGCAGTCTGGCTGAGATGCACATGTAAGCCACACTAGCACAAGCCAGCATGCACTGGCCCATCACAAGAGAGGTGAGATCAATTCTAGGGGTGCACAGGTGGGAGTGATGACATCTGTGGGGAATGGGGGTGGGAAGAAAGTCAGGGAAGACATCAGCAACGAAAGATTGGGAGGATTTGAGAAGAAAGATAGGGGAGGAAGGATAAGGGAACCATATGAATAGCAGTGTTTGAAAATCTGGGGACTTGCCTGGGAAATGAAGTCTTTCATTGGATTGACAATGCATACTGCAGTGTTGGTTCCCCTTCATAGGTGGAGCCAGGCCCAGCATAAGCACTGGCCCTGTGGATGGATGCCAGGTGAGGTTGGCAGGTCTGCTGATCTAGCTGGCGTCTCCTGCAGGAGCTGGGAGCAGACATTGTCTAAAGGTAGGGGTATATTGTGGCCATGCTGAGGAGCCAGCATAGAAGATAGTGTTGGGCCTGGGGACCTCTAGTGGGAAGACACTGGGGAGAGACATTGAGAAGAGGAAATAGAAATGCAAGGCAGGGCAAAGGGAGTTTGATGATGATAGTGATGATGATTTTTTTTAAGAGTATGTGTCGTGAACAAAGTGGGAAAGAACTTGTGCTTATTTACAGTGGATAGACTGGTGCTGGGGCAAGTGGGTACATCATAGAAGTTAGGATGAAGGAGAGATGGAAATGGTGACCAGTGGAGATCAGCCTCAGTGGCCTTCAATACAGACTAAGAAGTGTGACCTTGATCCAGGAGGCTCTGGGAGCCACACTGATCCTTCTTGAACAGGGAGTGACATGGCCAGACCTAAGTTTTAGGAAGGGGGATCTTCTAGCTCTTGGAATGGATTGGAGTGGGGAGAGGCTAAAGGCAAGACAACCTTGGCCTTCACAGCCTAATTGAAAAAGTAGAGCAAACACTTGAATCAAGATGCTTCAGATGGGTCAGATGGGGAAAGAGGGGGAATTTGGTGTGAGAGGCAGATGTTGAAAGGATTTGGGGATGACTTGGATGTTGGGTGAGCACAGAATCCTTGTTTTCCCCAAAATGCCTAGTTTAAGCCCAGTGTCCCAGCATAAGTGAATCATGGAGCTGCCTTTCTGTAGGTCAAAAATGGCCAAATGTGGCTATTTCATGCGGTTCAACGTAAGGTTATATGTGCCTCTTTTTCATATTTGGGAAGTGCCCTGGTTTGGACAGTAAATGATTTGGTCCCCCTAGTTAGACATGGGGAGATATGGCAGAACAGTCTTCTTCAAAGTTCTAAGCTTGGTGACTGGGAGAATGCCCTGGTACCAGAAGGGAATTAGGATTGGGAGGTGGGTGATATTGACCTACCTGCTCACCAAACTTGGGACCGACTTACATTTGACTTTTAAATAATTCTGTTCCCTCTCCAAAGATGCAACACTTTCATCTCTAAGGATATTGGAAGCAAAGAAGCTCTGAAGGTGGTTCCTGTATAAGCTCTTGAAAGATTGCTTTCAGTGGCATGACCTGTATGGGAGTGTCTAAGTTCTGGTGGATGTGTTCACGTGTGAGGCTCCCTGCACTGTGGGCATTTCTCACATAGGTGGTTAGAGTAGGTGGCTGACCACCCCAAGGCGCATGGGTCTCCTTCACTTAACTGTGTCCATTAACTGATTTCAGACTCTTTCCTGAAAGACAGCTAGGCTCACACATGCTAATCCTTATTCACAGTGGGGCTGGGCTTGGGTGTGTCTAGGGGCTCTGCACAGACCCACCCACCCATGTGTGTATCCCACAAAGGGTGCCCGGCAGAACCACTCTCATTCTGACCCCTGACGCATGTCCCTGCTTCATGATTTAAACAAGTACCAGGTATCTGGTGGAGAAGCAGAAATATCACGGTGCTGAAACTCTTTTTAGTTTTATGACATCTTGCTTCAGTCCCTTGAGTGCACAGGTTAACTGCAGGGCTTGCTGTGTGGAGGAGGGAAATGCAGGGAATTACTCCCACTTCTATTTCATGGGCGGAATTACTAGCTATACCAAAGCATCAGTTCCCAAGGATAAATAAATGGCTTTGTCAGGTCAACCATGACAATAGAAGATACTTCAGTGGAAACACATTTTTCTGAAATGGTTGCACTCAAGATCGTTGGTGAGGGGATGCTCTGTGAGAAAGGTTGCACAGGGAACATTGACAGATTTCGGCCAGGTGTGGTGGCTCACACCTGTAATCCCAGCACTTTGTGGGGTTGAGGTCAGTGGATTACTTAAGGCCAGGAGTTCGAGACCAGCCTGGCCAACATGGCGAAATCCTGTCTCTACTAAAAATATAAAAATTAGCCAGATGCAGTGATGTATGCCTGTAGTCCCAGCTACTCAGGAGGCTGAGGCATGACAATCACTTGAGCCTAGGAAGTGGAGGTTGCAGTGAGCCAAGATCACATCACTGCACTCAAGGCTGAGTGACAGAGCAAGACTGTTTAAAAAAAAAAAAAAAAAGTACAAGTTTATATTATTGAGTAAGTCCACAGGCAATAGATCCTGGTTTCAGTTTTTAGTGGCCTAATGGCTACAGAAAGAGTCAGTACTACATCAATGTGTTATGTACCAGGTTTATGGATGAGGAGATCTACAAACACCAGAGTTACCTAAGCCTCTGTTGTCTTTGATAAAAGCAACACTGGTCTCCATATAGGTTTTTTCCGTCTTTTGGTAAATGTTCTCATGGGGTAGCAGTGTAGCTCAAGGGTCATTTCTGCATTTTTCTCCTCGATGGCTTATTTCTTTTTGAGAATGAACTACTCCTTTCTGTGTTTCATTATGAAATCTTGAGGTTTTTAAATTCTTTCCGACTACAGAAAAAAAAACCTCAGTACTTTAGAAAACTGGGAGAACACCAAAAAGAAGTGTTGTCCATAATCTTAGCGTTCTCTCTTTTTTTTTTTTTTTTTTTTTAACCACATATTTCCCTCCCTGTTTCTAAGCCCACCTACTCAGGGTTACACTGCTCAATTTTGGTGTGAACCTGTCTAGTCTAGCCTTTTGCTTACTTAAACAATATATCCATAGATTGCTTTGGTGTGAACCTGTCTAGGCTAGCCTTTTGCTTACTTAAACAATGTATCCATAGATTGCTTTTAAACACAAGGATTATACTATAACATTTTGTAACTTGTGCTTTTTGGTTAATATACCTCGATTATCTTTCCAAATCAACCCGTTAGTCTACTACATATTAGTGACTACAGGATTCCCATGGACTACTGTTTTACTGGAAAGGGGTCCTGATACAGACCCCAAGAGAAGGTTCTTGGATCTCACACAAAGAATTCCAGGCGAATCTAGAGTAAAATGAAAGGAAGTTTATTAAAGTAAATGAATTAAGAGTGGCTACTCCGAAGGCAGAGCAGCCTCAAGGGCTGCTGGTTGGCTATTTTTATGGTTATTTCTTGATTATATGCTGAACAAGGGGTGGATTATTCATAAGTTTTCCAGGAAAGGGATGGGCAATTCCCAGAACTGAGGATTCCTCCCCTTTTTAGACCATATTGGGTAACTCCCTGATGTTGCCATGGCATTTGTAAACTGTCATGGCACTGGTGGGAGTGTTTTTTTTTTTTTTTTTAGCATACTAATGCAGTATAATTAGTGTTTAATGAGCACTGAGGACTACCAGAAGTCACTTTAATTTCCATCTTGTTTTTGGTGTGTTTTGGCCGGCTTCTTTACCACAACCTGCTTCATCAGCAAGGTCTTTGTGACCTATATCTGGTGCTGATCTCCTATCTCATCCTGTGACTTGGATGCCAAACTTCCTGGGAATGCAGTCCAGCAGGTCCCAGCCTCATTTTACCCAGCCCTGCTTCTAGATGGAGTTGCTCTGGTTTAAACGCCTCCAACAACTGCATGATGATTTGTTAACATCGCACTGAACATGAGGCAATTCTCAATTTTTGCCCTTACAACAACACTACAATTAACATTATTTACTCTTTCCGTCCTAAAGCTAGTGTTACTGTAGGAGAGTCTTCTAGACTTGGCATAACTGGATTAACTTGCTCTCCAGAGTTCATCCATTCTGCAGTTTTGTCAACAACATGAGCATGCTTAGCTTCCTATCTTGGTATTACTAATCTTCTTGTGTGTGTGTGTGTGTGTGTGTGTGTGTGTGTGCGCGCGGCTGTGCACAAAGCTCAGAGGTTAGTAAGCAGTATTTCACCATTTAATGGTCATTTCTTGAATCAT